GCAGAGTGTGGCGATGGAGACAGCAGCAATGGGAGGCCGTACAGGACCCATGAGACACTCTGGACCTTGGCAGCAGCATGAGGAGGCGGTAAAGGGGCCCATGGCAGATTAGGGGCCTGGCAGCAGCAATGGGAGGCCCGTAATCTGCCAGCACCCTATGACAAAAAATGGAACCCTGGGCTGGGGCAGGCAGACCGCCGTACCTGAACGGTTTTCCCAGGCCACCGAATGCGACGCTGCATGGATGCTGACGCAAATGCTGTAGTCCCGTACAGGGCCCCCTGGCCACGCTTGACTTTGGCAGCAGCATGAGGAGGCGACATAGGGGCTACCTCCCTCGGGCAGCTTGACGAAAAATTGCCACACCGCCGAGTATAGGAAACTTTGCCCCCGCTACTCCTCACTGGCTGACTGCTACTTCCTCCGTTCACAATGGCACCACTACTGGCCAGTGGTGGTAGGCTGCAGTGGAGCTGGTGCTCTACTGTGGCCGTGGCCGTTTGCCTCCACTGACACTGCTGCGAGTGGCACATGCTGCTGCCTGGCTGGAGACAGCAGCAATGGGAGGCCGTACAGGGACCCATGAGACACTCTGGACCTGGCAGCAGCATGAGGAGGAGGTACAGGGGCCCATGGCAGATTAGGGGCCTGGCAGCAGCAATGGGAGGCCCGTAATCTGCCAGCACCCTATGACAAAAAATGGAACACACCAGCAGTGTGAGGAGACCTGAAAGTGGCACATGGCATGAGACACTGTGGACCTGGCAGCAGCATGAGGAGGCGGTATAGGGGCCCATGGCAGATTAGGGGCCTGGCAGCAGCTATGGAGGCCCGTAATCTGCCAGCACCCTATGACAAAAAATGGAACACACCAGCAGTGTGTGAGGAGACCTGAAAGTGGCACATGGCAGAGTGTGGCGATGGAGACAGCAGCAATGGGAGGCCGTACAGGGACCCATGAGACACTCTGGACCTGGCAGCAGCATGAGGAGGAGGCGGTACAGGGGCCCATGGCAGATTAGGGGCCTGGCAGCAGCAATGGGAGGCCCGTAATCTGCCAGCACCCTATGACAAAAAATGAACACCAAGTGTGTGAAAATGGCACACACACCAGCATGTGACAGGAGACCTGAAAGTGGCACATGGCATGAGACACTGTGGACCTGGCAGCAGCATGAGGAGGCGGTACAGGGGCCCATGGCAGATTAGGGGCCTGGCAGCAGCTATGGGAGGCCCGTAATCTGCCAGCACCCTATGACAAAAAATGGAACACACCAGCAGTGTGAGGAGACCTGAAAGTGGCACATGGCAGAGTGTGGCGATGGAGACAGCAGCAATGGGGGAGGCCGTACAGGGACCCATGAGAGACTCTGGACCTGGCAGCAGCATGAGGAGGCGGTATAGGGGCCCATGGCAGATTAGGGGCCTGGCAGCAGCTATGGGAGGCCCGTAATCTGCCAGCACCCTATGACAAAAAATGGAACACACCAGCAGTGTGAGGAGACCTGAAAGTGGCACATGTTTGGGGCATGATTCATGGCGGATTTAGTCAGTTGTGTCAGGAACTGGTGGTTTGAAATCCAGACTAATCCACGCCTGATTCATTTTCACAAACGTGAGTCTCTCCACACTTTGGGTGGACAGTCGTGTCCTCCGCGGAGTTACAATACCTCCTGCCGCATGACAAAACACGCGCACCGATGCCATGCCACGCTACTGGCCGGGCATGACAGCCTTTCAAGGGCAAATTCAGCTAGTTGGGGCCAAAGGTCAAGTTTCGTTGCCCAGTAGTCAAGGGGATTGTCTACCTCGGTTGGCAGGGTGCTGTCCAAGTAGGCCTAAGCCTGTTGTTTGAGGTCCTGCTCCAGGTCCACCTGATGCTGCTGCTGCTGCTGCTGCGGCTGGTTAGTAGTTTTCCTCACTGCGCTGGTGAAGAAAGCTACTCATCATCGACTGCAGACTGAGGCAGCTGCTGCTGGTGGAGCTGCCACTGCTCCTCCTACCACCCCACCCTCCCCTGCTGCCATGGCAGGAACGCGAGCGCACAGGGCCCACAGTGTCTGAGGATGGACGTTGGCGCAGAAAGGCAGAGACCAGCTGACTACATAGGTGGTTTTTATAGTACGTTATTTTGGCCTCCCTCTCAGCAGGTGTGAAAAAGGCCACCATTTTTGAACGGTAGCGAGGGTCCAACAAGGTGGACAGCCAAAAGTCATCCCTCTGTCTGATGGTTATTATTCGGCTGTCGCTACGCAAGCAAGCGAGCATGCTATGGGCCATTTGTGCCAAGGAATGCGAGGGACTCCCTGCCTCCATCTCCACAGCATACTGCCACGGTGCGTCTGGGTCCTCTGTCTCCTCCTCCTCCTCCTCTACCAGATGCTCCTGCTCCTCCACTCCTGTCCGCTGAGTGGAAAAACCACCCATTTCACTCAATAATTCCTGAGCACCAATGTCCTCCTCTACCTCCTCCTCTTCTTCCTGTCCTGCCCCCACAGGGGTCATGTGGCGTTGAGATCTGTGCGCCGCCACGTACTACCGCACCCTGACCAGCCATTGTTAACAGCATTTGTTCCAGGACGTGCAACAGAGGAATGACGTCGTTCATCCCCATAGTCCTGCCGACTCACGAATAGCGTGGCCTCCTCAAAGGGCCTGAGCAAGCGCAGGTGTCACGCATGAGCTGCCAATGGCTGACATCTAAGTTACACAGGGAGTACCTTTATCCGCTTGTAACATCAGGAAATCTGTGATGGCCTTTCGCTGTTCGTAAAGGCGGTCTAACATATGTAGGGTTGAATTCCACCTTGTTGCAACGTCACAGCATGAGGAGTCGGTACGGGGGCCCATGGCAGATTACGGGCCTGGCAGCAGCAATGGGAGGCCCGTAATCTGCCAGCACCCTATGACAAAAAATGTAACACACCAGCAGTGTGAGGAGATCTGAAAGTGGCACATGGCAGAGTGTGGCGATGGAGACAGCAGCAATGGGAGGCCTGTACAGGGACCCATGAGAGACTCTGGACCTGGCAGCAGCATGAGGAGGCGGTATAGGGGCCCATGGCAGATTAGGGGCCTGGCAGCAGCTATGGGAGGCCCGTAATCTGCCAGCACCCTATGACAAAAAATGGAACAAACACACCAGCAGTGTGAGGAGACCTGAAAGTGGCACATGGCAGAGTGTGGCGATGGAGACAGCAGCAATGGGAGGCCGTACAGGGACCCATGAGAGACTCTGGACCTGGCAGCAGCATGAGGAGGCGGTATAGGGGCCCATGGCAGATTAGGGGCCTGGCAGCAGCTATGGGAGGCCCGTAATCTGCCAGCACCCTATGACAAAAAATGGAACACACCAGCAGTGTGTGAGGAGACCTGAAAGTGGCACATGGCAGTGTGGCGATGGAGACAGCAGCAATGGGAGGCCGTGGACCCATGAGAGACTCTGGCTGGCAGCAGCATGAGGAGGCGGTACAGGGGCCCATGGCAGATTAGGGGCCTGGCAGCAGCTATGGGAGAGGCCCGTAATCTGCCAGCACCCTATGACAAAAAATGGAACACACCAGCAGTGTGAGGAGACCTGAAAGTGGCACATGGCAGAGTGTGGCGATGGAGACAGCAGCAATGGGAGGCCGTACAGGGACCCATGAGAGACTCTGGACCTGGCAGCAGCATGAGGAGGCGGTATAGGGGCCCATGGCAGATTAGGGGCCTGGCAGCAGCTATGGAGGCCCGTAATCTGCCAGCACCCTATGACAAAAAATGGAACACACCAGCAGTGTGAGGAGACCTGAAAGTGGCACATGGCAGAGTGTGGCGATGGAGACAGCAGCAATGGGAGGCCGTACAGGGACCCATGAGAGACACTGGACCTGGCAGCAGCATGAGGAGGCGGTAGGGGGGCCCATGGCAGATTAGGGGCCTGGCAGCAGCTATGGGAGGCCCGTAATCTGCCAGCACCCTATGACAAAAAATGGAACACACCAGCAGTGTGAGGAGACCTGAAAGTGGCACATGGCAGAGTGTGGCGATGGAGACAGCAGCAATGGGAGGCCGTACAGGGACCCATGAGAGACTCTGGACCTGGCAGCAGCATGAGGAGGCGGTATAGGGGCCCATGGCAGATTAGGGGCCTGGCAGCAGCTATGGGAGGCCCGTAATCTGCCAGCACCCTATGACAAAAAATGGAACACACCAGCAGTGTGAGGAGAGACCTGAAAGTGGCACATGGCAGAGTGTGGCGATGGAGACAGCAGCAATGGGAGGCCGTACAGGGACCCATGAGAGACTCCACCTGGCAGCAGCATGAGGAGGCGGTATAGGGGCCCATGGCAGATTAGGGGCCTGGCAGCAGCTATGGGAGGCCCGTAATCTGCCAGCACCCTATGACAAAAAATGGAACACACCAGCAGTGTGTGAGGAGACCTGAAAGTGGCACATGGCAGAGTGTGGCGATGGAGACAGCAGCAATGGGAGGCCGTACAGGGACCCATGCAGAGACTCTGGACCTGGCAGCAGCATGAGGAGGCGGTACAGGGGCCCATGGCAGATTAGGGGCCTGGCAGCAGCTATGGGAGGCCCGTAATCTGCCAGCACCCTATGACAAAAAATGGAACACACCAGCAGTGTGAGGAGACCTGAAAGTGGCACATGGCACATGGCAGAGTGTGGCGATGGAGACAGCAGCAATGGGAGGCCGTACAGGGACCCATGAGAGACTCTGGACCTGGCAGCAGCATGAGGAGACCTGGCAGCAGCATGAGGGGCCCAGGGGCCCATGGCAGATTAGGGGCCTGGCAGCAGCTATGGGAGGCCCGTAATCTGCCAGCACCCTATGACAAAAAATGAACACACCAGCAGTGTGAGGAGACCTGAAAGTGGCACATGGCAGAGTGTGGCGATGGAGACAGCAGCAATGGGAGGCCGTACAGGGACCCATGAGAGACTCTGGACCTGGCAGCAGCATGAGGAGGCGGTATAGGGGCCCATGGCAGATTAGGGGCCTGGCAGCAGCTATGGGAGGCCCGTAATCTGCCAGCACCCTATGACAAAAAATGGAACACACCAGCAGTGTGAGGAGACCTGAAAGTGGCACATGGCATGATGAGACACTGTGGGACCTGGCAGCAGCAGACCCATGAGGAGGCGGTACAGGGCCCATGGCAGATTAGGGGCCTGGCAGCAGCTATGGGGAGGCCCGTAATCTGCCAGCACCCTATGACAAAAAATGGAACACACCAGCAGTGTGAGGAGACCTGAAAGTGGCAGCACATGGCAGAGTGTGGCGATGGAGACAGCAGCAATGGGAGGGCCGTACAGGGACCCATGAGAGACTCTGGGACCTGGCAGCAGCATGAGGAGGCGGTATAGGGGCCCATGGCAGATTAGGGGCCTGGCAGCAGCTATGGGAGGCCCGTAATCTGCCAGCACCCTATGACAAAAAATGGAACACACCAGCAGTGTGAGGAGACCTGAAAAGTGGCACATGTTTGGGGCATGATTCATGGCGGATTTAGTCAGTTGTGTCAGGAACTGGTGGTTTGAAATCCAGACTAATCCACGCCTGATTCATTTTCACAAACGTGAGTCTCTCCACACTTTGGGTGGACAGTCGTGTCCTCCGCGGAGTTACAATACCTCCTGCCGCACTAAACACACGCGCTCCGATGCCACGCTACTGGCCCGGGCATGACAGCCTTTCAAGGGCAAATTCAGCTAGTTGGGGCCAAAGGGTCAAGTTTCGTTGCCCAGTAGTCAAGGGGATTGTCTACCTCGGTTGGCAGGGTGCTGTCCAAGTAGGCCCAAGCCTGTTTTTTGAGGTCCTGCTCCAGGTCCACCTGATGCTGCTGCTGCTGCGGCTGGTTAGTAGTTTTCCTCACTGCGCTGGTGAAGAAAGCTACTCATCATCGACTGCAGACTGAGGCAGCCGCTGCTGGTGGAGCTGCCACTGCTCCTACCACCCCCCCTCCCCTGCTGCCATGGCAGCGGAACGCGAGCGCACAGGGCCCACAGTGTCTGAGGATGGACGTTGGCGCAGAAAGGCAGAGACCAACTGACTACATAGGTGGTTTTTTTATAGTACGTTATTTTGGCCTCCCTCTCAGCAGGTGTGAAAAAGGCCACCATTTTTGAACGGTAGCGAGGGTCCAACAAGGTGGACAGCCAAAAGTCATCCCTCTGTCTGATGGTTATTATTCGGCTGTCGCTACGCAAGCAACCGAGCATGCTATGGGCCATTTGTGCCAAGGAATGCGAGGGACTCCCTGCCTCCATCTCCACAGCATACTGCCACGGTGCGTCTGGGTCCTCTGTCTCCTCTCCTCCTCCTCCTCTACCAGATGCTCCCTGCTCCTCCACTCCTGTCCGCTGAGTGGAAAAAACCACCCATTTCACTCAATAATTCCTGAGCACAAATGTCCTCCTCTACCTCCTCCTCTTCTTCCTGTCCTGCCCCCACAGGGGTCATGTGGCGTTGAGATCTGTGCGCCACGTCTACCGCACCCTGACCAGCCATTGTTAACAGCATTTGTTCCAGGACGTGCAACAGAGGAATGACGTCGTTCATCATCCCATAGTCCTGCCGACTCACGAATAGCGTGGCCTCCTCAAAGGGCCTGAGCAAGCGGCAGGTGTCACGCATGAGCTGCCAATGGCTGACATCGAAGTTACACAGGGGAGTACCTTTATCCGCTTGTAACATCAGGAAATCGGTGATGGCCTTTCGCTGTTCGTAAAGGCGGTCTAACATGTGTAGGGTTGAATTCCACCTTGTTGCAACGTCGCAGATCAGGCGATGATGCTGTGGAATTCCGTTCTGCCGCTGCAGCTCAAGGAGGGTGTGCTTTGCGGTGTAGGAATGGCTGAAATGCATGCAAAGTTTTACGTGACATTTTAAGGATGTCTTGCAGTGGGATGGTGGATTTTAGGAACCGCTTGACAACCAGATTGAACACGTGAGCCATGCATGGCGCATGGCACAACCTTCCTTGACGCAGAGCAGACACCATGTTCTTTCCGTTGTCGGTCAACATGGTTCCGATTTTCAGTTTTGCGCGGAGACAGCCATCTGTCGATTTTCTCTGTTCATTACACTGAGAAGTTCCTCCCCTGTGTGACTACGTTCGCCAAGGCATACCAGGTGCAGCACAGCGTGACACCGTTGCGCCCTGCACATGTGATATGCCGGTCGGGTAAATGGGACTTGCACGGGGGGGGGTGGCGGCTGAGGACACGGCGGAAGAAGAGGTGGTAGAGGCGGACATCTTTTGTGGACCAAGGACGTGCAAACGTGGAGGCAAAAGCGGCGTGACCTGTCCAAGTTGCTGGTGCGGCTGTGACGGCACCACGTTCACCCAGTGGGCCGTAAATGACATGTACTGTCCCTGACCGTAGTTACAGCTCCACACGTCGGCGCGCCTGCCGTGCACTTTGGCAGAGACCGACATGCTCAAAGACTGGCCCCCACCATCTCTTCTACATGTGAATGCAGGGCTGGCACTGCCTTTTTGGCGAAGAAATGACGGCTTGGCACTCTCCACCGCGGCGCGGCACAAGCCATCATTTCTCGGAAAGGTGCTGAGTCCACCACTTGGAAAGGGAGGGACTGCAGCACCAGCAACTTGGACAGGAGGACGTTCAGCTTTTGCACCGTCGGGTGCGTGCTCGCAAACTGTTGTCTCTTGGAAACGGATTCCAAGAAAGACTGCTGACGGAATCCGTGAAGAGGAGTAGCAGGAGAAGGAGCATCTGAACGAGCGGAAGATGCCAACGAGCGACAACTCCCCTCAGCAGAGGTGTTGGAGCCTTGACTGGCTGATAGAGGGCGATTGACGTCGGGTGACGGAGCAAGTAACGGAGCGGGTGATGGAGCGGGGGCTGGGGCAGGCAGAACCGCCGTATCTTTATCACGGTTTTCCCAGGCCACCAAATGGCGACGCTGCATATGCTGCCGCAACGCTGTAGTCCCAACATGGGCCCCCTGGCCACGCTTGACTTTCTGGCCACATAGTCGACATACGGCTACGTTTACTTCCTCGGGCGGCTTGACAAAAAATTGCCACACCGCCGAGTAGGAAACTTTGCCCCCGATACTCCTCACTGGCTGGCTGACTGCTGCTTCCTCCGTGCACACCGGCACCACTACTGGCCGTGGTGGTAGGCTGCAGTGGAGCTGGTGCTCTACTCCGTGGCCGTTTGCCTCCACTGACACTGCTGCGACCCTGCTGCCTCCTGGGCAACCCCCACCGACTGTTTTGCTCGCTGCCAAGCTGCCACCCTCTTCTCCTGATGATGCGGAAGCAATAGCCTGATGACGACGAGGAGGCTGCCAAGTGCGATCAGCCTCATCATCATCAATTAGGGTCTCCGCCTCACTACTAGCCCCCTCGGCTGCGTGTGGGTCAGGAGACAGACCTGTCTCTAGACCGGCTACCGAGCCACTCTCCTCCTCGCCACTACACTACTTCTACTTCTTCGCCTGGCTGCTGAAGAGGCGGATGTCTCCCCCCGTTCCTGACCGCCCTCTGTTAGCTCTTCCTCACTGTACAGTGGGGCTGAGCCCACAGCATGCGATACTTCGCTTGGTGAGGGAACACCAAAGGACAGGGGCAGGTAGAGGACACGTGATTTCAGTGGGCTTGCTCCCGGGCCATGCCAACTAACGGTTGTGTCTGACGTACCCACCGACCGTTGGCTGTAGGTGTCAGAGGTGACCTGGGAAGAGGAAGACGACCGAGCCAACCAATCGATGACGGCAGGGTTGTCGGTGGAGACACGACCGCTGGATGACACCGGAGCACTGGCCTCTGGCTGCGAATAGTGCTGCCTCGACCCCTTCCTCCTCTGCTGCCACGTCTGCTCGCTCCTAAAAAACATTGCCTCCTCTGCCACTCCTATGCATGTTGTCTGACATACTCTTTAATTAAACGATTCTGTGTCCCTGAGTAACAATTCTGTGTCTGTCCCTGAGTAACAATTCTGTGTCCCTCAGTAACAATTCTGTGTCCCTCAGTAACAAAATTCTGTGTCCCTGAGTAACAATTCTGTGTCCCTGAGTAACAATTCTGTGTCCCTCAGTAACAATTCTGTGTCCCTCAGTAACAATTCTGTGTCTGTCCCTGAGTAACAATTCTGTGTCCCTCAGTAACAATTCTGTGTCCCTCAGTAACAATTCTGTGTCTGTCCCTGAGTAACAATTCTGTGTCTGTCCCTGAGTAACAATTCTGTGTCCCTCTGAGTAACAATTCTGTGTCCCTCAGTAACAATTCTGTGTCCCTCAGAGTAACAATTCTGTGTCTGTCCCTGAGTAACAATTCTGTGTCCCTGTGTCCCCAGTAACAATTCTGTGTCTGTCCCTGAGTAACAATCTCTGTGTCTGTCCCTGAGTAACAATTCTGTGTCTGTCCCTGAGTAACAATTCTGTGTCCCTCAGTAACAATTCTGTGTCCCTGAGTAACAATTCTGTGTCCCTGAGTAACAATTCTGTGTCCCTCTGAGTAACAATTCTGTGTCCCTGAGTAACAATTCTGTGTCTGTCCCTGAGTAACAATTCTGTGTCCCTGAGTAACAATTCTGTGTCTGTGTCTGTGTCCCTCAGTAACAATTCTGTGTCCCTCAGTAACAATTCTGTGTCCCTCAGTAACAATTCTGTGTCCCTCAGTAACAATTCTGTGTCCCTCAGTAACAATTCTGTGTCTGTCCCTGAGTAACAATTCTGTGTCTGTCCCTGAGTAACAATTCTGTGTCCCTCAGTAACAATTCTGTGTCCCTCAGTAACAATTCTGTGTCCCTCAGTAACAATTCTGTGTCTGTCTGAGTAACAATTCTGTGTCTGTGTCCCTGAGTAACAATTTCTGTGTCCCCTGAGTAACAATTCTGTGTCCCTGAGTAACAATTCTGTGTCCCTGAGTAACAATTCTGTGTCCCCTGAGTAACAATTCTGTGTGTCCCTGAGTAACAATTCTGTGTCCCTCAGTAACAATTCTGTGTCCCTGAGTAACAATTCTGTGTCCCTCAGTAACAATTCTGTGTCTGTCCCTGAGTAACAATTCTGTGTCTGTCCCAGAGTAACAATTCTGTGTCCCTCAGTAACAATTCTGTGTCCCTCAGTAACAATTCTGTCTGTCCCTGAGTAACAATTCTGTGTCCCTGAGTAACAATTCTGTGTCCCTCAGTAACAATTCTGTGTCTGTCCCTGAGTAACAATTCTGTGTCTGTCCCTGAGTAACAATTCTGTGTCCCTCAGTAACAATTCTGTGTCCCTCAGTAACAATTCTTCTGTGTCCCTCAGTAACAATTCTGTGTCCCTCAGTAACAATTCTGTGTCTGTCCCTGAGTAACAATTCTGTGTCCCTGAGTAAGTAAATTCTGTGTCCCTCAGTAACAATTCTGTGT